ACATTTCTCTGATTTGCATTTAAAAGGTGTGGCAACTGTCAGGCAGAGGCAGGGGTTAGGCCAATGGGGTCCAAATGATTGGCCTCTGTCTGTCGCATCTGCCTCTTCAATGTATCTGTTTGTTAGAGAGAGAGGGAGAGAGAGAGAGAGGAAGAGTGCTGCAAAGTATTCAAGTTTTTATGACCTCACACACACACACACACACACGCCCACAGCGGGGCATTAAAACTTTGCTATTAGCCAAGTAACGTTAGGCCATTCGAGCTCTTAACTGCAATCTATGTTTGTGCAGATGCCATACGATATTCCTGCATATAAAAGTCAAATGTTGCAACTGAAAGCCGAGAGTCGTGAAGCGTGATCAAAAGGTATTTCAATTGAAGACGAATCTGGTTTGCTTTTAGCTTGACTGTGTTGGCCAAGGCAAGCAAAGCATTGATATGAAGCAGAAATTATAATTTTGGGCAAGTTAAAGGCCTTTGGGTAGCAAGGAAACATAAGTCATATGGGCTAAGCGACTTCTCTTTAGCTAATCATTCGCAGAAGTTTATCCAAGTGACTCTGCCTCTCTCAGAGAGGAAGTTACCTTGAGTAAAGATTATTAGAATTCCTTGGGATTGCTCTTCACTTCAACTAGAGCTTCTTAGAAAATGTTTCAAGTCTCTCCCTCTCTCCCTCTCTCTGACTCTCTTCTTGATCTGACTTCAAATGGGTAAAGTAAATTCGTTTGAGTACAATTTCTATATTTTTTAAATATTTAATATTAAAATTTAATTTGTGAATATATTTAATTTTTTTTTTTTAATATTTGTAAAATATTATTTAAACTTTTTTTGATAATTGTAAAATATTTTAAAAATATATTAACTGTCTGACTTGCTTCTATGGGATTAGAGATACATTTTCAAGGGCAGACTTGCTTCAGCCGCTCTAGTCTCTCAATTTATATATGTACATGTAGCTATAGCTTATCAAAACCTCATCTGATTTAATTTCTGTCAAGCGGGATTTTTATTTTTTAAATTTACCTGAAACTCACTCTCTGTCTCTCTCTCTCTCTCTAATTTAAAATCGGAAAATCATATTTCACATTATTTAACTATATTTAACTAAGTGTCCATCAGTCTTTACCTCTTTGCCATTTGTCAATTTGACTTATATATAAATCGAATAAGAAATTCCAATCAGAATATTTACAGAATTGCAAATAAATTTCGTCTAGAGCATTCGGCATTCGTTTGACAACTGCGTTGCAGTTGCAGCTGCGCTCGCCCACAAACTGTGCAATAAAAGGCGAACAATGCGAATGCAACATTTAAAATCTACAATAAAATGAAATGCAAATAAAATGTGCCGCTGACACGGCTGAGAGCAGGCGAAACTAGAAAAATAAAGCACAGCAAACCAATATATATATATACAGATATTTAATAGAAAGAGAGAGAGAGAGAGAGAGATAGAGAGGGAGAGAGATAGAGGGAGATAGGTGAACGTAAAAAATTGCGCTGGCAACATGAAATTGGCTGGTTGCTCGGGTCATAAATTTCTATATAGACAATCTCGATGTTGTTTGCGCTATTCGACTATCCGGCATTTGGGTATTCGACGTACAATTTGGCCTATTGTTGGGCCGTAGCACTCTGATTGTCGCCGTCGTGCTACGCAACATGCAACAACTATTAATCATATTGAATGGCTTCTGTTTCTGTTTCTGGCGATGGCGATGGCGATGGCGATGCCTCTGCCTGGGCCTGGGCCTGGGCCTGACTGTGTCATCCTGGCTAATCAATCTTTACCGTGTGCCGTCTCTAATGGCACTGACAACGACAAAGGCCATCTCTCTCCTGCCCCCACGCCCTCACTCTACCGCTCTGGCTATCTCCCGTTCCATCGCCCAACCCCCCATAGAAGAAAAATGGCCGATAAAGTCATTAACGCCTGGCTGGCCACCTGCCCTGGGATATGCTACGGCTTGCTGTTGTTGTTGTTGTTGTTGCTGCTGATCCGGACACGGATACGGCTACACACACACATACACACACACAAGGAGCTGGCCGTCTGAGCCGGCGGGGGCCAGTTGCTACTATTTTGTTTATGGGCGAACGGCGCAAATCTCTTTGCCAAGCCGCTGCTCAATGAGGCGGCAGGCAAAAGCCAAAAGGGGATTAGTTGTAATCAATAACTTGGCCCAGGCAAGCGACGGGGCTGCCCAGCCGCCATCTCCAGTTCTGTTGTTTGCCTGTCGAAAGTTTTGCCAATGCTTCTACGCCCCACCAGCCCCCTCAAACTGAGCCCTTTGTGCGCCAAGTTATTATTATAATTTTTTTTGTTCTCTTGCTTTCTTGCTATTTTTTTTTTCTTCTATTTTTGCAAATGCGGATTAATTGAAAAGTTTGCCATTAGCAATTCGCGCTTGGTTAAGTTGCTGCGCCTTTGTTTCAATAGAGAGAGAGAGAGAGAGAGAGAGAGAGAGAGAGAGAGAGAGAGAGAGAAAGAGAGAGGGAGCGCTAGCGCCTCTTGCCACCTAGGCAATATCTTTGGCTAGGTGTTTCAACTATTTGATCGTTATGGATTTTGACAGCTTCATTCGCAGTTATGATGAAAATTACTTAAAAGCATTTTGCGCAGCGCTGATTTGATTGATGGGCGTTTATGTGGCATGAATGGTGGCAACGCTGCCAGCTGGAATGGGGCCGAGCCGAGGCGGGGCGGGCATTTGTGCTTGTGCCTGTGGCAGTGCTGCAAGCTCTCTCCGGCGTCGTCATTATATTCGCATTATCGAGTGACGTGGGCGCGGGCGCAATGAGCCATCGCAAATGCCAGTTGACGTGCCGGCGGTTTGAAGAGCTGACAAAAAGTTGCGCCAATTTGTGTCAATTATCAGGAGGCTGCCCCACCACGCCCCCTCCCAGCCGAAATCTGGTGCAGCCCACTCATCAGCTTTTCACCTGGCCGTTGAGTGAAGTTTCCAAATCCGCTGAGAGTTTTTGCCGAATATGGGGCAGCATTAAATGACAAAACAATGAATATTCCCAGCAAAAAAGAGAGAGTGAGAGAGCGAGACAGAGAGAGAGAGAGAGAGAGAGGGAGAGCAAATTGCGGCTTTGTGCGCGTAAATTTCGTTGAGCACGGCGAGTTTTCCATTCTCCATTTCATAATGTAAATTTTTTGTTGTTTTCTGTTCTTGTTGGGCTCGCCGAAAAAAAGTGCCAGCAGTGATAGATGCCATTTTTTTCAGGTGGCTAACAGCCAATTTAAAAGTACAAAGCAATTAGAAAAGTTGATTAACGTCAAAATGTTCCTATCAAATATTTAATTGAAGTTTCAAAAGCGCATGAAAACTTTTAGCATCATTTGTTGTGTGTTCAACATGAGCTTGTGTTGAGGATTTAAGCTTAAAGTGCATAAGCCAACAGCCAATGGAATATAGTTAAAAGCTTATTAAAGCTCGCCAAGCACATGCGACATTTAAGATTAAAGTGTAAGTATCAAAGGTAAACTCAAGGAAAAGCTTTGTTAACTTGCATGAGCTTTGCGATGAAAAGGACAGCTTACTTTGAAAGCACATTGGGAATTTAATTGAAGATCTTTAAATATAAATGTTTTTGATATATGAACTTTCTCTATAAGAATATTTGAGAGCTTCTCTTTGAGTAAACTTAAATCAAAATAGAATCAGAAGCTTATACATTTATCTGCGGCAATGGAATCTCTACTGAAATCTCTCTTTAGGTACACAATTTTAATTACTTTGCGTACAAGCACAGTCGACTCGAAAGCTTTAAAGCTATCTGTGTTGCCATGGCATTTAATCCTTGTATTTAGACGACAATCTTAAGCAAATCTTAATGCAGGTTTTGCATTCCTGCAATTCCTGCAAGCCATCCGGCAGAGTTCGTTCATTTAGGCTTATCCTTATTAAAGATTTATGCTTAAGCATGCACGTCGAGCTCTGCTGGATAAGGCGTAAGCAAACATTATGCATATCGTTAATGAAATCCTCAATGGCCTCAGTCTCAGCTGAGGCTGTCACATACAACGCCCGTTGCAGTCTGAAGCATCTAGTCGCTCATTAAAATCGAAGAGCGTCGAAACAAATCGATTTTCGTTTAGTATCGCAATCAAGAACACAACATTTGTGTTGTTGTTGTTATTGTTGTTGTTGTTGTTGTACTCGTGCTAAAAATTTGTTTTGTGCGCTATAACAAGACCGGGCCGTGCCCCAGCACACACCTGCCTATAGCTGCCAGGCTGCCTCACTGAATGGAGAACTTAAAGAGCACTCGAACAGCACTCAGCCACAAACACATGCACACACACACACACACACACACAGAGAGAGTGTGTATGAGCTGCTGTTTAAGTGGAGTTTGCTTTGGCTGCAGAGAATTTTTTGGATAAATTGTTTTGAGTGAAGGGTTAGAGTAGGCGCTGCACCGTCTGTGCCTTGCAGTACTTGTCAAGATTGAATTTGCCACGAATATATACATATATATATGAATGTATACATATATATATGATTTTTTTTTCAGCTTTCTTTTTTGGCATTTTTATTGATCAAACAAACGCTGGCAAGTGGCAGCCAGTGAAGGTGTCATT